TCTGGAGGATATACAAAATTATTTATGTATTATCGCACTAAATCCTTTATATTTTATTATTAATAATACTTTTACTCTTAGTAAGAGCATGACAAAATTACCGTAGACGTATGCAGCATAAAAACAGAGCTGGATAAGACAGACTTGCATTGCATTGCCAAAATAGTGTCACAGGCAGAGGTTTGATGGCTCACTTGTCCGTGGCTTCTGCATCATGTCATCTGTACCAGCTGTTGTTTGACAGAAAGGGATTGTAACCGCACTGTGCAAAGACACAGCTATCAGCATAAGATGTTTGACACCAACACACAGTGGGACTCTTTTTTTTTTTTTTTCTACAATATTTTAAGAGGTATTACTTGTCGTGGCACTAAGACAAAGCACACAACAAATTACCCTGAGAAACAAAAAAAAATCTCTGTCGGAGGAACAAGAGGCCTGGTGGTTTCATGGAGTGTAGTTTTATGTATGTGAGTAAAATACAACATAAACATTTTTTTCAGAAACATTTTCTCATGTTGCTTTTATGTGGTGATCCCAAATGATTGCACGGGTACCAAGATCTGGAAAAGTGCACCAACCTGCACTCTGAGAAAGCCGTGAAAGAAACTGCTTGTTATTGATCCCCCCCCTAATTACAAGAGTCAATAAAATTTACTGCTTTCAGACCTGCTAGAAGCCACTTATATCGCATACTCACTTGAGCAATCTCATCTAATGGCGAGTTATCAAGTGATATACCGTTCTGCCAAACAAAAACAGTGTGGAGCAAATGCTGGTATAAAATCCAGTCTTGAGTCATACTGCCAAACAACGCTTTCAGAGCTGTGATGTGACTTTTATACTTTGTTGTAAAAACCACAATGGAGAGCAGACCCTCTTATAAAACACTGCCATCTATAGTCTCCAAAGAAGTTACAAAGTAATTCCAACAATTCTTTTAGAAAACTAATATGCTTTTTGGCTTTTTAAAACAAATTTAATACTGTTTATACAATATTCCTATAATTTTTACATTTTAATCAAAAGCCCAGCATCTCTTCGGTGATTTCTCATCATGATGTTTTGATAAAAGTACAAACCAGTGTCTCCCAGTGAAGACAGTGAACGGCACTACACTGTACGACAGTGTTGGGCTTGTTGATGCTGATTGTAGGAGCTCAGCTCCCAACACTTAGTAGATCATCGTAATTAAAACATAAATTGGAAGTATTGAGCTGCATGCAGTTGCCAGAGCAGGCTCCGGGGAAGCATTGATTCATGCATGCACTTTGCAACAACTGCTCTCCTTTGCACGTGGTAAAATATAGAAGCCTTGAGAATAAAATCGATAGCTAACAAGCTATTTGAATACCATTCAAATGGTAGATGGTAAATTACTATCAGGGAACTATTTCTACACATATGAAGTATGGACATATAGGAAAAAAAATACTGCAAGCAGTACCATGCATGCAGGACAAGATATAATGAATCCAAGTTATGCAACTCTCAAGAAAACTCCAGAGACCACTGATTGATTTGTGTGGGGACTAGTCTTTTTACTGTACATTTGCACACATATTCCCCACCCCCACTCTCAACTTATCTCAAATGAATTGCTTTTTGCTTTATTTGGTGTTAAGAAACACCCCTAACTGAACCTAGATTCAAACAGGCCAGGAATAAAATGAAAACCAATTTGTACAAAAGACATGAAAAGAGTTTAGGATGCCACCATAACCCAATGAAAGTGCTTATTGTTTCTGGTGGTGCTCGACAGGGAATTCATAATAACCCTAAGAATGTAAAATTCTTCTACCAGAACCATGCTTTTGTGCTGAGGTAAGCAGGGCTGCACATTGTAGAGCACTATCTCAGCCTGCCATATTCGCAGGTTTGAAAGTGGCCATAATTTACCCAAAAGACATAGGAAAATTAGTCCCACTTAAGCCAGTCAGGAACAAAGTAGCTCTGTACAACCTGTGAACACTGATGTGTATCTCAAGGCTGAATTGGCCCTGGTATAATGATAGAGGTTAAACAATAAAAGTGAGCAATAGCAGCACGGTCATGATCTAATCTTATTGCATAGCAGTTTATTACAAAGCTGAACAATAATACTGATAGTTATGCCTGCAAAAGTGCAAGGCCTGGGAAATAACCCATGTAGAAAATTGCACACATAGTTTGGAGAAATGGATTTTTCTTTTGTCCCTCTTTTTCTGCAATTTGTTCACCTCTTTTATCCTAAACAGTAGTGACATGGTTTCTCATCAGGAGGTCTCTTGCTAAACAATCTGATACAAGAAAAAAAATTAAGGCATGAAATAACTTAAAGATTAACTTCTTAATGCACGGACTGTTGTTTACCCCCCTATTTCTCTTAAAGTAAATGTAGCATGATTAAAGAACAGAAGTGTAATGACTGCAAAGGTGCCATGTGCTGGAGCTAAAGGGTTATTAACCTAAATAGCTCTGGGCACGCACCTGGACCCTGTGCTCCATTTATGAACCTACAATCTGAAAATAAATTGCTGACTAAAGCAATGACTTTGCACTGGCAGTGTGTATCAGGGACGTGATTCTTAGCATGTCTTAGTATGTTGGTTTTATTATGAATAATGAGTGTCTGAGGACAATTACCTGTCCTGTGCCTTTCACAACTGTAACCTTCTCATAGAAGGAAAGGGTGGGGAAGTAGATGCAGTGGTATATAGAAACATGCAGGAGGTGAGTAGAGATGATTAGGCATTTATGGCAGAAAACATGCTTTCTGTGGGGCTGGATGTAAAACAAAATATTGGAGAAAAATTTGGTGAGAGGCAGGAAAAATGGCAAAAGGGAGGTGAGAGTGGCTGGAGAATGTAAGTGAAGAAAGATGAAGGAGAGAGGCAAAATTGGAGAACAACAGAGAGAGGATGTGGAGGGAGCTTTACCTCCTTTAAGTCGTCTCCTCAAAGCAGCTTTCATCCAATGGCTTCGCCCACAAACTACACACACACCTTGCCAAAAGTGTGCTTTGACAGTAATCACTAGTCTTCATTCTGGCATCACGCACAGTCATTTTAATGCATTTTTGTTGCTCCAGGGAACTGGCTCCAAAAGGAATTTAGAAAACCTAGAGAGGTTTCCACTAATTGTAGTCACAATAAGCCTCACGTGTCGACTGAATATCAAAGCCGTTCCAGGCCTGCAAGACGCAGTTGAAGTTAAATTATTTATTTGTCCGAGCTTCTACCGGAAAATCAAACAGCACTTGGACAGAATGCTTTGTGTAGATGAACATGAAAGACAAACCTGTAAACACACACACGCAGGAAAATAAAAACGTCTCCAATGCATTAAGTATACACGCTCAGCAATGCCTGAGTTACAATGAATAATTGCATACACGGCCTGAGTAAATGCTGTGAGTAGAGGAGACAAAGGAATTAAAAGCAGGCTGACTAACAGACTATGACATGTCCAAGGCCTACTGCTAATTATGCCCCAACCGCTCCCTGACTATTATCCATTCAAACAGGAGAGAACACCAGAGAGGGAACCCACATTACTGCTGATACACTCTAGGTAGCTGACTTCAAATATGTTAATAGAGGCTTTGTCCCCAACCTTTCATTTTATATTTGGATGTAATACAACAATCATAAACTGATAACATAATCTAATCTAAACACATTATTCGATCCTCAGGACTGTCGCTGGACTGAATGAAAATCAAGGTGCAGTACTTTATAGAGAGTTATTTATTCTTGCTTTTCAGATTATAAATATATAAATGGATTTAATTACGTTTATTAAGTAATTCTGAGTATTTGCTTTGATCAGATTGAGCTGGTTTACATTACAGTTTTATTAACCACTTCCTCGCCGTTGGTTTGAACTCCTGTAGTGTCCTCCCAGCTGCAGTACGCAGTGAAAATCATGTCATTTAATTATGTCCTTCTTAAATAAAATTTCGGGCAAATAGACTTTGTTTATACGAAACCATAACTATGTAAGAGGACAAGTAAATGTTTCATTTGAGGTCAAAATGATCCCAAGGGCAACACAAAGGTTTTATGATTTCTTGTATTCATTTGGCAAAATGCAACTCTAATTGTCCAGAAATAGTTTCCACTTGGCCAGATAAGACAGGTTTATGTGTGAGGCGTTAATCCATCTTCAAACTGAAGTGTGTAATTTGAGGTTGGGTAATCGTCTGGCAAGTGATTCCCTCCTTTTTTTTCTTCACTTGTTAGCATCAGCAGTAATTATCTTTATATGATAGCGGTTAGATTGGAACAAGACAGAACTGTGTGTGCAGAAAAGATACCACTGTATAATCATGGCTCAAATTAATTTATTGTTGTTGTTTTTTTTTAATCATTTAAGTAGTGGTTCCACAAGATGATACATGTAGATTAACAACTGGGGAGATTTTGCAAGATTTCCACATTGAGTATGGAATATATTTAATATTACAAAATCAAAGATGGATTTAATTAAATGTAATTCCCTCTCTTGCAACTGCTAAGTGTTATTGAAATAAAAATACATTAATAATATTCAAATAATTGCACAAATCGTGCAATTTAAATCCTCTATGGATGGAACACAGCAACCTAAAATGTTTACAGTGCAGAGTACACACAGATTTTGAATATTTACTTTGCAAACTCACCAGAAAATCTAGTTCATTTTGCACACAAACACTGAATTCACCCATATGGATTTATGCTGTCATGGAATCACCCACCTACCCAGTCAGATTTGTTGCGCCCTCCTCGTCATTGTACAATGCACAAATGAACAAGGGATGATGGGCGAGGCTGAGATGTTGTGACATGTCATTTATCTTTGTCAGTTGTGGTTGAACACGAGTTGTGATTGGCTAGTCTCTGAGACCAAGCTAATTAAACAGTGGCGAGAAAAGAATGGAGAGGAGTCTCCCTGTTGTTTTTCTGCTGGTGCACATACAGTAGTGTGGAGAGGGTGATCAGAAATGAAAAGGCATCCAAAAATGACGTAAATCTTACCTTTCAGAACTCAAGCAGCCGTCCCTACAGTTCAAAAGCTGCAAGAAAAAAAGACAACAATGTTAGATTGCAATTATTTAATGTATTAAAGAAGCTTTATGTAACAAAGATTTGAGATGCACTGTTTCTGATTCTGTTTTTGTTTTGATGCTGCTTCCTGTGGCTGAGTATTATTAAATAGCACTGTCTCTTTCTAAAGGACAATGGGGGAACATCCATTACCCAGTGATTATATGTGGCAAGCACACGTGTCTGACACTTAAACCTTTGTGATTTTCTAACCCGCTACAAAAATCCCTTCTTCACCACTGATATTCAGCGTGGCATATCTTTCTTGGATTTCACTTGGGCACTACATAAAATAATATTGTGAGAACAAAGGCATTGAGGTTAGTTTAGTGTTAATTAAAATGCGTGCAGCACTAAAAAAGGTCAAAGTTGGACAGAAACGTAGAATTAAAAAAAGAGGTTTTGATGTTAATTGTGCGCAAAGGAACTTGCGATTGCACTAACTGAAACCCAGTTCACTTTGGAAAGAGGAGCCATGAGAGATGGAAGAGAGCATTAACCATGTGACTGATGAACAGCATAACTCCATGCTCTGTTCACCAACTCGTTTTTTTTTTTTTTTTATCTCCTCCTAGCTTTCAGGCTCTGCATTGGTTGCCAGCGCAATTGATTCTGGCAGAGGAATATGACTGCAGTGAGTACGATGGCTAAGTATCTGAATAGCTGCTGTCAAAATGCTGAAGGGGAGGAATTTATTTCCTAGTTTATATGCAGGGTATATCATGGAGTTACTGTCCTAAATGGCTACAGTTTGATGTACAGTATGCTGCCATTTCATTGGTGGATAATGACAGGGTTTTTCAGGCGAAGGCTTTGCATTACAACGCCTGCTTTCTCTCAGTGCAGTGAAAGCAAGCATGTGACAAATCCTTTACAGTTGTGAAATATTTGAAACATAGCTGTAATCGCCGTGACCTTATTTTGGATCTTCATGTCATCATTGTAATACATGACAACTGGTATTTAATAAGTCAAATCGACTTTAGCATAAAGAAAAGAAAACACAATTTGTGATGCAGCCCGAGAACAAACGAAGAGGGGGAAAAAATGAGGGAATATCAGAGTTGAAGTGTCTTGACCGCTACAGAATAAAGCGAAATGATTAATAGGGGCACTCCAGCAATCAGCACACAATAATGGAGCTACCTGTCAGAGGTCCTGCCGTCCTTTGTAGATTTATGGCTAATAATTGGACATGAATAAAGCCACAGCAGCACTACCAGAGCTGCACAGGATCATTATTTGGAGATACAAAGAAAAGAAAAGTCAGCCTGCCCTATGCTAAACAATGAGAGTGTGTGAAGGTGCAGATGATAGATTTAAAATAAAATTGTATTTTCTTTTCTCTAAAAGATGCTGACAAAAGTCAAATGAATGGTGCCAAAGCCTCTCAGTGAATTGGAAGTGTTCACAGTGCAGATATTCCTGCAAGTCATTCATCAGTATGCTGTGAGAAATTAAACTTAATGTTTCTAAATGGGAAAGTTTAGGGCAGTGGTTCCCAAACTTTCTCTGCATGGCATCCTTTTTTGTATAGTCCCAGTATGTAAAAGCTCCAAAAACAACATCATTGTTGCAACATGTGGTAAAACAAGATTAACCAGTAAATATGAAACAGTTCTGTGATGTGTTGGTATTTCCATATCAATTCATGTAATATTTCCCTTTCCAAATATATCTTAGCTGTGTATTTACCCATGTGACAGATTGTCATTTTTATTCATATCTGTAACACAAAAGGAAACAGAGTGATACCATCCTTTATTGCATAAACAAAGTCTTGGAGAAAAAACTTTTCCGAATCTCACAGTCTGCCTCAGTGGCATGAGCATTGCAATCAGTCTGCAATTCAAAACCTTCTAATCTAAAAACTTGGCATTTTTAGTTTCCAGTTATAGTTATTTTTTATGGATACTGTGATATTTGGGTCAGCACCCTATAAGGCCACCCACTCCACCTATTCCCTTAAACTTTTTTTTTTTTCACACTTTGCCCCCCCCCCCCCCCCCCCTTTTCCAAATCCTCTGTTCATTGCCCTCCTGACAGCCCCCCATCAACATGGGTGCAATTAAAAAAAAGCTCCTTCAACAGCTGCCATTCCACAGGGCTGGCTATCAGTCCAGCTGCCAAAGCACAGACAGGGACTCAGCAGGTAACTTTGAACATCAGGCTGCCCCCATCCAACCACCCCTTCACACACACACCCCACCACAACCACTTGCCTCCTCCGCCCCCCAAAACCACACACACAGACAACTGCAAATGGACTGAAGGTGAAAGACTCTATTTCTCTAAGATTGGTTCAGCTGATGATGGGGTGAGTGAGGGGGCAGATCAGGCAGCACCACTGCATCCTTTCTGACATGTTGGAGCCAACATCTGGCATGCAGTGTTAAGGTCAAGACACGTAGAGTTTGAGCTTAGGAAGGCTGATGAATGTGATTTCAAAACTCATGTATGAAGCGATGTGTTTGATTAAACCTTAAACAGTGTGAGTATTTGGGTTAATGTGAAAGACAGACAGAGGGACAGACTACATGTGGCTGAGATGTGATTTATAACATGCCTCCTTGTCTGCGTTTTGAGCCAAAGCTGTCTGCGCATGAGTGCGTGTGTGTCTATTTGCCTGAGTGCATGTTGACAGTGCATACATAGCTCATGCATGTTGCCTGAAACAATGAAGTGAAAACATCTCAGCCCTGAGGCTGGCTAGCATGCTGCTGTGCACTTCTCTCCACCATATGTCTTTGTCAAAAATATTTGCTCTGTGCTGAATGAGGGATGAAATCAATCCAAGTGCTGTTTCCCCTTATTTTCCTCTTTCCTTAGAGGCAAAAAAATGCACCACATTTGCCAGATCAGCCCACGTTGTCAAGTGTAACAACTGGCCACTAGTGACACTCGGAGACACACCATCTGCTCTCCAGTGTCCTGTAGTCATTTCGGGGAAATAAGGAACAACTAAAGTCTTTCTCTTTTGTCAATTAGCAACTGCTAGAGATGGATGTGAGAACTGCTGTGGTGTTACGAACCAATCAAAGGAGTGTGTTACTGTGTGTGCCAGTCAGGAATGTATAGAGAGGGTCCACAGGCACCAAGTGCAGTAAAAAAAAAAATTCAATGAATAAACAGATGTACTTGCTGGACTTCATTTTGCTCAGTTTCACCCACTCAGCTGGACCACTGGTACACTATATCTGCACAGCCCGAAGATAAAATCAACAGTGCAGTGAGGTTGTGTCGGGGCACACTTGGTAACATAGTACGCCTTAGTAACAAAATCTCTAGAAAAGTTTTACTGAATTGTACTCTTTAAACACTATATATTTGCTTGTGCACTTTGCTTCTATCTCTCTAAACAAATATTTCAAATTCACCTTGGTAGTTGCTGCTGATGCTGAGGTTTTTTGCTCAAAGGCTGTTTCAAATGAATTTAAATGCTGCATAGCCAAAGTAGTGACGTTATTTTCAACTAACCACTGTGTCAGGGCTGAATACTGGTGTTGAGTGTCCTGTAGCCCGTTCAAGCTTTTAGTCTATTATGCTGCAACCTCACTTTTGCCCAAAGCGAGAGAGAGAGAGAGAGAGAGAAAGAGTATTCTGCAGGGTCTCACTGGTGGGATGGAGCCATGTTATACATGGGTTGTTTAGAAAGAAATGTTGGGTCCATTAACCTAAGAAGAGAGCTGGATCTTACATGTTGAAGAATTGCCCGAAGCAAGCTAGCATTATGGTGAAGCCTCTTCACTTGATTTGCCAAAGAAAGTTAATGGAGTTTAAGTGGGTCGTCTCAACTCCGACTCAATCCGATACCAATTGTACCAAGGGCTGGTTATACAGCTAAAGTAATTAATGGAATTTAGCCTGCAAACTCTGACTTTTACCAACCTTAACAAGAGAGTGGATGGTTAATGACACAATGGCTACTGCACTGAAAGCTTTTTTCAGCCTCTTCAGTTCAGTCTTGTTCTTTTACCGGAACACTGATGCAGTTACGGGGGTTAGATCTTTCCTCTGCTCATCTCTGAAGCTCTAAGGGCTTCTCTTTAGCCGTGGAGGTCTGAGAAGTCATGGATCTCTAGCGGGATTTATCAGTTAATGGTAGACTTGTCCTTCCTATGCCCTTCTGTAATAGCCAAGCATCATTAGTAAGAGTGTTAAGAGAGGGCACAGCCATCCATATGTTTCAATAATTACCTTGCACCTTTGACAAGGCACCTACAGAAAGACCAAGCTTACATCACATTATTAATGAACAAAAAAAAAAAAAGAAAAGAAAAAACGATGAGAGAAATTTGAGAGAAAGTTGTTAATTTTTCTTTTACTGTAAGGTCAAACAAAGAAGTTGAAGGTGAAAGATCAAACAAATCTCACCTTTTAATAAAATGTAACAGTGTATGTGGCGGGAGCCTGAGTTGCCAAGGCAGCAGTCTCTGCACTGTGAGTGACACATTATTTCACTGCAGACCCCCTGCCACTCCCTTCCTAACTCCCCCAAATCACAACCTTCAATCTATTTTCTGCCTGGCTGGTCTTATGAAATTGCATATATTCCCTCAGATTACTCCCACTGTATCCCCATACTGTTTAGTTTCTGGCTGTTTGAGAAGCGAGGCTTTTAAAATAAATGGGGGAAGAACAAGGATATGCTGTGATCACTAAAATTTAACCATAACTCTTTGGTTTTATAATACAAATTTATGTTTTTGTCAGTCTTTAATGGGGAAATAATATGTATGAAAAAATAAAAATAGTATGTACAAAACTGACCAGATTTAGTTATTGGTGGATAATACAAAATTGATTGATTTGCATAAGAATACAAGCATTTATTCTTATGAATTTTAAGAGTCCGTAATAGGATTTGTTTTTCTAAAAGAGAGCCTTCACCAGTTTCAGTGTTAAAATTAACAAATTAAAATGACCTTTTCTAGTGCTTTGCTTGTGGGGACCAGAGGGCCCTAAATCA